TTAGGGTTTCTATCTAGATGTCCCCAAAGTCTCATGTGCTCGTAGGTGGGGAGGGGATTGGATCACTGATGTGTTCGTAGCTGGCTGCGATGTTGGGAGGTGAAGCCTGGTCGAGGAGGTGGTCTCTGGGGGCGTGGCCTGGAATGGTTCATCTCCCTCCTCCTCTCTGGATCCCTTTCTGCTTCCTGTCCACCAGGCTGTGAGCAGTTCTCCTCTGCCATGCCCCTCTGCCATGCCTGGCCTGCCTCAGAAGCAGCAGACTCTGGACTGAAACCTCTACAAACTGAGCCAAAATAAACCTTTTCTCCTTTAAAGTGTGGGTGTTGGGTATTTTGTCTCAGTGATGAGAAAGTAATCAAGACAAGTTTGTTTAAAATGGAAGTTTGCGGTGGACTTTCAAGTGTCATGACCGGTCAGGAAGAAGATACTATGGTTGCTCAATTTGTTTAAAGAAAAGGTTGAAGTTTGGGCTCAGCCATCTATAGTGATCGGACACTGTTTGAGTGAATTGCATTTGTAATGTAAACAAAATGTTCACAAAAATAAATAGGGTTAAGCTATGCCAGATTCAACTCCCAGGTTTCTGGAGTCCAGCTGTGGCAGCTTGATGGAAAAGGAGAGAGCCTGTCAAGTTCTGAGCATCTACCAGGCCCCAGGTCTCCAGGTGGAAAGTTAGCACTAGGGAAATGAAGACATTGCTTTTGTCTTGTTCCAGGGAGGGAACTAAGACCAAATCTTCCTGGCTGTAGGATCAGGGGGCAGGTTGAAGAGAGAATTGAAAAGAACTGAAGCCCAACCCAATCACTTTCCTGTTTTATCTTTAATAAAGACAGATTTGTTTATTGCCTCCAACATCTTCTGAAAAATAGCAGAATCCCAAAATGAAGCTACGTTCTAGGTCCAAGTTCCACAGCTAGTAGTTGGCAGGCCTGGGCTCAAATCCAGGCAGTCTAGTAATTTAGATCAAGTATTAGGTTCAGAGGGAAACTTATCCTAATTAGATAACACATCTAGGCAAATGGTTGACATATTCATTACTGTAAGCAAATTTAATGAAACACGCTTCCTGGTGCTCCAGGTATTATCATGGGGACATCTAATTCCACATAAGAAATGTTAGAGCTGGATAGAAACTCCCAGAGCATCTAATTCAATTACCTCAATTCAGAGGTTTAAAAAAACCCAGAAAGGCAGTAAAGTCCATCCAAGTCTCCAGGGCCCTGGTTAAAAAGGTGGGGAGTTAGAGGGTCACCCAGCTCCTAAACACACAATGCAACCCAGAGGGCAAAACGTAAAATAACTCGAGCTTAATCATGAGACTCTAAGGATTTTAGAATATGCTCTCTTGAATGCAATATTGGGCCTCCTCCTTGGGGGAACATTGAGGAGCTGGTACCGGCTCTGAGGAAAAGGCTGAGTTGTATTTGCCTGAGGGTGGATACATTGCAGCAGCTAGTCCACAAGGCTGAGACAAAACAGCTTCCCGCCTGGGCTGACATCCAGCCTCTGTCCTCCTACTTGCCTGTGCATGGCATCATCATCTCCTGAATCCCTCCCTTTCCCTCTCCTTCTGCATCCGAGCAATTACTAAGTTCTGCGCTGCAGTTCTCACTTCCTGCTCCCTCACCAACACTTCCACCCCAGGCAGGCGGTGTCTGCCGCCCGGTCTCTGCCTGTAGAGTGATCCTGCCATTTCCTTGCTTGAAGTCCCGTGGCCCTCGCCAGGGTTCCTGAATAAGACTCTTTCCTCTTCAGCACCGCAGGCTCTGCCTGATCTCCCCGCCTCCCACTCCCCTCCTTCTGCCCACTTAGAAACTGGCTGCACCTGCTGTCATTGGTGTCTGCTGGGACAGGTGCCCTGCTCACCGCCCGCCCTGGGGCACGACATGCTCTCACCCCACTCTGCTAGCGGTGCTGGAGGTCACCATGGAGGGAGCTCACTCCTGTGGCGCTAGGCCAGGCGCCGTGTGGCCCTCACCCCACCTCGACACCAGGAAAGCACGCTCTACCACTTGCAGGTGAGCAGCCCCGAGAACTGTTTGCCTGATGACCGCGGGACAGGAAGCTGGCTCACCACTCAGCCTTCCCTGCTTCAGGGCCACTGTTGTTCCGATCATTCTCTTGCTGGCTGCAGGCCATGGACGAGCTTTTTCCAGGCTCAGAAACCACCCGAGGCCTGCCTTCTCACTAGTCCGACAAACCCATGCTTAACCTTTAAACCCAGGGAAATCTCCCCCCTGCAGTCCTTCTGTCTCAGTCTGAATCCATTATGTCTTTTGTTTTTCAAATAGTAACTACCTCACGCAATCAGCCAGCATGACCTGGTCTCTTCAGCACACAGATGAAGAAACAGGCTGAGGGGAGGGAAGGGCTCAGCCAGGAAGACAGGTGCACCAGGGAGAAGCAGTCAGGACTGGGACCCGCTCTGCTCCTGCCGAGCCCATGTCACCCACGCGGGACCGCTCCTCGTTTTTGCTGGCTTTCGGAACCGTCAGTGAAGCCCTCCTCTTGGTAGTAGCTGTGTGGCTTTGGGTGAGGTTCTAAATCTACCCGAGCTTCACTTTTCTCGTTGGAAACTGCACATAAAGACACTCACTGGAAATTCCTCATGGGAAATTCCACATAATCAAAGGCTTGCTGCGGGAGCCGAGAGAATCCACATCAGGCGCTGGGGTAGTGCACATGTGAGCCAGCATTGTGTGTACCTCCCGGCGTGATTCCTGCCAGGTTCCTCCACGACCATCTTGTTCGTGAGCAGCACTGTCATCGTTGTTCTTATTTTCAGACAGACGCCTCTGGCTTCCATTCGTGTCTCCCTGCCCAGTCACCCCAGGTGGCTTCCTGTCCCCACAGGAAGGCTGGCGGCCGTGCGGGGGTGGAGCTGTGACTGCTCTCCTGAGCTGCGACCTGCAGCCTGGGGACAGCGCCAATCAAACAGTTCTTCCACCCTGGGTCGCTCAGCAGAACACAGCTGCTCTTTCTAACCCATGTGTATTCCCTGTACGTCTACCGACTGCAAATGCAAGCGGAAATTCAGCAACCCCGAACTAATGAAAGAAATACAGTGTCGGATGACTTTCAAATTTAAAGGGCAAATGCTATTTTGAAGAAAGGTCTCTCAACCAGGCTGTCCTTTTGCTCAGAACAGCAGGCTGCTGCAGTCATCTGGAAAGTCAGTGGAGAAGCCTGAGGTGTGAGGATAGCAGCCCTTGGACTTGGGGAGCCTTGAGCCTGTATTTCAGGATCAGACAACATCGGATCAGATCCAAAGTGAGCTTTGGGACGGGAATGGAGGAGGGCTGTGAGGGGTCACCGGCTGCTCGGGAGACCCCGTCTCAGACTGTGTGACTGCATTCTGGTCTCCACTTCCTGCTGGTGTCGGGCAATACCAATTCCTTGGTTTCTCTAAGGCTCAGGATCCTCAGGTACAAAAGAAAGATATTAGCAACCCCTCCAGTAGAGGACTGTTCATTCATTCATAGGTCATGTGCCTATGCTATGTGTGACCAGGACTGCAGAGACTGCATATTGATTATGCTCAAGGCAGGCTGTGAGCAGTGCAGGCTGTGCAGAGTCATCCCCACATCTGGCTGGTTTATAGAAGTGAGTCTGGCCGAGGCCTATGTGCTGAGGTTCCCACAACTAAAACCTTCTGACTAGAAGGACAGTGTTCTAATTACAGCCATATAGTTTGTCTATTCTGTTCCTAATTCAAGAATGCTTCGTCTTGCCCTTCACGAACCTTCCTTATATTAATTTCCATAGAAACCACAAGATTGCATATCCTCGCGTGTAGTTCTGCCCTTGCACATAGCTCACCTTTACACCAATTGATTACCAATAAAAATCAGTGGCTTAGGGGCCAGGGATTTAGCTCAGTGGTTCCACCATCTGCCTCACAAGCACAAGGATCTGAGTTCGATCCCCAGTACCAAAAAAAAAATCAGTGGCTTGGACTGGCCAGCACCTTTGTCGGTTGCATTGGCATTGGTCATCCTGCTGCCCCACTTTCTGTCTCTCTTAGTTCTGCCTTTTAGTTTTTTTCTCAGGCCTGTGCCATACACTGAGCAGGAGACTGGAACCTGACTGCAGGGCTCTCCAGTACATGAGTCCTGACAGGTCAGCTTTGTCGGCTTAAGAAGCGCCTGGCAGATTAGTAGAGTGTGGTTCTGGGTCCGTCTGGGTGGTCGTGGGGACATGACCCTGAGGTTGGCCTGGTCCCTGGCTCCTTCCTCTCGGGCACTGTTCCTCTGCTCTGGTTCTGGCCAAGAGCTGAGCAGCTTGGCTTGGCCACGCCCTTCCTCCAGGATGTCTGTGCTGTGGAGCCAGCTGACCATGCTCTGAAACCCTGAACAAGTGAAACCTCCCCTCCCTACACTGTGGCTGCCAGGGTTGTGTCTCTGCGAGGAGGAGGCTGGCCAATGTACTGGGCCCTTGGGCAGTATCATCGTGTAAAACAGGGGGCGGGACCAGGGGCCCCTGGGAGGTGCTGCCTCACTCAGCACCTGGCGAGCTACAGCCTGCAGCCCAGGCTGCTACTTCTGTCCCCTGTCCCAGGAACCAGGTGGAACCACAGGGAGCACTCCACTTGTTGGGAAGGCTGTTCCTGTCCCATGAATGATGTGTAGAATCTGTAATTTCAGTATTTGTTTGACCCATGAACCAAAATATGGGGGAAGGAAGAAGTCCAGATACCAAAATGCTGATCTGAAAGTCATGAGAAATTGAAAGCTTTCAAGGGGGTGGTAGACCTTGTCTCCCGAGACGCTTATCTGAATTAGGGGTGAGGGATCAGCGGCAGGCAGATTCCTTCCACCCCTTTATATCTCGTCTGCTGTCCTCTTTTTATAGGTTGTTGGGGAAGGGGAAAATGGGACCAGAGTCAGTGTATAGGAAGGGGGTTTTCCCTCAAAAAGTCAGTTTCTAAAATTTAGGCTGGAAATGTAAATTCTAAAATTTCTTCCCATGATACCCTGGCGAAGACAGCTTCTCCAGTTGCTAAAGGGCTGAGCTGCCATGCAGAAATCCCAGTGCCAGGGAGAGAAATCATTACACATGACGAGCACTTGTCTTGGATTCGCTGGCGGGAGCGTGGGGAGAAGGCAGCCCTCGAGTTGGGAGTTTCCACGTGCCACACTGCGTGCCAGAGGCTGGAGGTGAGCCAGGGAGGAGAGACAGGCAAGGCCGCTGCTCCCAGGAGCCCAGAGCCAGGAGTGGGCACAGGAAGGAGCTGAGCTCAGGACGCAGTTGGGCACTGCAAGCACAGGCGGAGAGGACACTGCTGCAGATGGGTCAGGGCGGCCTCCCTGGGCAGGGGATTTTAAAGCTGAGACCTGAGGACAGAGGAGAAGCGATATGAAAATGGAGGTGGAAGCTACCAGGAGGAAAGATGGCCTTGGAGAAGATGCCACGGTGTGGAAAGGTTTGGAAGGCTGGCGTCTTAGTCACAGAGGTGGAGTGTGGGAAGCAAGGGGTGGTAATAGAATGGGTGTCGGAGAGGCCAGCAGCTGGGCAGGAGCCAGACTCTCACTCCAGGTCAAACATTTCAACAAGTTTGAAGTAATTTCGGACTTAGAGAAGGGCTGCAGACAGAATGCAGAGCGACCCTCCCTCCAGTACTACCTGCCCAGTTTTCACTAAGTTAATATCTCACTTCATCAGGAAGCACGACAGGAACTCTGGAACAGTGCTGTCCACTCCTCGGGAGGCTGGCCACGTGAGAAGGAGGTGAGTGGCTGAGACCAGCGGGCTGCTGGGCGGGAAGCACCAGGCCGGGCTGGGGCCGAGAACGAGGACCAGGAGGAAGTGCGGGCTGGGGCGCCAGTGAGAGACAGACACGGGGAGGAAGCGAGCGAGCCAGCCTGTGAGAGGCAGGGTGGAGGCAGTGAGGGGCCTGGGCGGGAACCAAGGCAGGGAGATGGGAAAGTGCAGAGCAGGCCCTGAGCCCCATCTGAGCAGCAGGTCTGATGCGGATGCGGTGACACTGACTGAGGAGAGGAAGATTGGAACCCGGGTGGGCGGGCGTGGCTGGGGAATCAGCTTCAGATGGAAGCAGCAGAGCAAAGCTCGAGCTTCATAAACAGCATCCGAGGTAAAGGGAAAGTGTCACTGCTACCCAGCAAAGAGCCCCGGGGGCGCCCCAGGATGCGGCCCTCCTGCCCATTTCTTTCTTTTACCACTTTAACTCCAAGGAAGCTGCAGCATCAACCAGGATTGAAAAGTCAGATTCTAGACTTGATTCCTGTTAATTGGGTCCTATTAATTGGACTCAGTTAATAGGATGGGTTTTGGCAATGAAAAAGATGCCTTGGCAAGGAAGGATGTGAAGAGAGATACTCTCAGAATCGGACCCTGGAAGGGAACTCAAGCTGTGGCCACAGGCGTGGCCAGAAGCAGGCACCTGCTGGCTCCGCCTGGGCTTGCCCTACATTGGCTGGAGACCTTTGGGCTCCTTTTGCCATCTGTAAAGTGGAAAAAAGGTCTCTAGGTTGTGTGTGCTGGTTTTTATAATGCGATGTTTATAGAGTGCTTGGTGCATGGCATATGAATGTTGATTCTCTTCTCCCCTTCTGGAAGATCTCCTTAGTTAACAACAGCAATCTCTTGCATTTTAAAAACACTTTGAATTTCAAAGTGCTTGCATGACCAGTCTAATTTTCTCAGAAATCAGAATATAATGAAAGTGTTTTTTTTCCTCTTCAAAGTGAGAAAACTTCAGAACACAGCTAATGAAATGATCTGAACTGACTTCATTTAGTGTAGAATTAAGGGCTCTCAGCGGGCCGGCACCCGTGACCACTGACTATGTCAGCCTGCAGGGGTCCGGAGCCGGCGATCCCCTTCCCTGCCCAGCCTCTTTGTGTCCCCCAACCTTCTGCAGGGAACCCCCTGACGTCACCCTCACTTAGGGGCTGCTCACTGAGGGCAGACTGTGTAGGCTCACACGGACCCCGCTCCACTCCGATCTGCAGCTGCGCCACTGCTCGGCTGGCTGGTCTCCTTGCCCACCTCTTGGACCACCGCATGGCGTCGTCTTCACTATCCATGAATGCTAAGTCTCACATATGGCCTCCAGGTCAAGCTTGCTAAGTCTTTCTCACCTGCAGGGCGCATCTCCATCCCAAGCAGAGCAGAGCAGGCAAGCTCACCCCAGCTGGCAGGGACCAAGCCGTTTCCTTGGAGTTCCTCCGCCCCATTTCTCATCCTACCTTTTCCCCTCTCATCATCCTTTAGCCGTTGAGTTGTGTGTTTTTGCTTTTCCCTACATTTTATTCCTCCTGCAAGAGAAGCAGAGCTCGGGGCTGCAGGTGCTGCCGCTGACTGTTTCCAGCGCCGGCGCTGGCCCCTTGTCCTTCCTCCGCGGGTGGTTTCCACCGGCACTTGGCGGCTTTCCAGATTACCTCTCACTGTGAGCTGAGATTTAACCTGTGATTTCTGCTTGACCCTGTCCCTCTGGGCTGGCTAGGTTACTGACACCACACTGTGACCTTTTCCTCTGTGAGTGCGTCCTGTCTCTGCATGATGGTGTCACCGATCAAATGTCCCTCTGGAAGGGGTAATGTGGGCCTGTCCAGCTTCACCTGGCCGGGTGCTGGGGTCTCTTGGCTCCAGGAAATCAAACTCTCCTCAACATTTGCACACGCACTTACTTGTGTACTGGCTGCTTCCTCTCTGGAACAGGAGCCCCATGACACACGAGACATAGGTGCCCTTGGGTCTCCAGCAGCCGGGACTGCCTGACACACCGCCATCGCCTGGTGGCCATTTGCTGACCAACTTACAGAAGTGACAGCCGCTGTGCCGCCCCTCTGGCTGCTGGCTCTCCTGAGACTAAACACCAGGGCGAGCGTGAGGATCGGGGGTCCCGCCTGGGCCGAGACATACAGCAGTGTTATGGGGGCTCCTAGGAGTCAAGACTGAAGCCCTGTCTTGGAATCTTGTCCTCCTCCACCCACTGAGGTGGGCAGGAGAAGATTTCCCATATCTGGAGACCATTTACTCTCTTATTTTGTTGGTTTCTAAATTTTCCTTTTAAATAAAAACTTCCTTTTCAAACTAGCCTTGACTGTGCACCTCTTCAGAGGCAGACCCAGGCCATGGGTGAGGCGACACCCACTGCTGTAAGCACATGTGGGATGCCCAGGGGTCAGGACTGGGACCCACTCTTAAAGGCCTTGGGGAAGTAGTGGGGATAAAGGTGGGTAAATTCCAGGGCAGGAGCGTGGAGAAGCAGACCTCGGGGGGCCGGCGGGGGAAGAATTCTGGGCTGAGGGAGAAGACACCCTTGCAGGGGGGGTGAAGACAGGGAGACAGTGCACCTCCCCTTCCCATGCTTAGTGGGGCTGGGGTTCAGCCTGGAGAAGGATCTGTCACAAGGGACAAGGCTGGAGAGGCAGCAGGGCCAGAGCGCGGGGGGCTTTATGCTCAGAGCGAAGCGGGAGGGAGGTGCTGCGGAAGGTCTGCATGGAGGGAATGGCACGTGCCACTGCGCTTCGGGGCGCCTCTTGAAGCTGCTCCACGGTGGCTCGGGTGAGGCATGGCCAGGAGGGCTGCATTCTCAGGACTAGAACTGGAGCGAGAGGTGGGAAAGTCTCTGCACAGAGCGCAGGCCCGGGAAGGTGTGAGGGACTATGCTGGTTTTAGCAGTCTTGCTCAGGGCTCACCAAATCACTGCAAGGACTGTGGCACATGGTCCCGCTCAGCCTCCAGGAACGCATCTGAGAGCCTGCCCACCCGGACGGCTTCCTCCTCTGCCGCAGTCAGGAACCTGGCCAACTGGGAGGCCACAACCAGGACCCCTGGCCTTCCCCACTCACCACTGTCCCTGGGACCCCACTGGGCCTTGTCAGCGGAGAGCAGGAAGCCACTGGGGACCTGCAGCGTGGCCTCTGAAACACTGGAGACCAGCCACTCTGCCAAGAGTGGCGTGTATCCGCAACATAAGGCATTTGTGATTCATTTTTATGTCTGGAGCAGTGCCCTGGCTGAGTTCTTTCACACAGCCTATGATTAGACAGAGATGAAACTGCTGGATGTCTACATGTCTTCCTCACCTTTACTTGCCCCTTCAGTGGGCCCTTTGGTTCCATCAAATAACCCTGCAGGTCGAAGCTCTGTGGTCCACAATCATCCAGCGGATCCTGAGCTTCCGAGTCTGTCACGGAGGGGACTGGGCAGGAGGAGGGAGGAGCAGGCCGGGGCTCCGCTTCGGCTCAGCATCTTCCTGTGCCGTGCTTTGTACAGAGACTTTGCACCGCACAGCGGTGGAGTCTGCTTCCCCACACCTGGAATTCGGGCTGGATTTGTAAGGCGATCCAACCACCTACCTGAGAGCAAGGAACACCGCGCCCTTCCCAGTCTCCCCAGGAGGCTGAGAGGCACTTGCTCTGCTGCAGTGCCCAGAAGCCGCGTGAACAGCTCAGGCCAGCCTGCTACGTGGTGAGAGCTGTGAGGCCCATGGTCTCTGATGTGCTCAGTCAGTACCCAGAAGTGGACTTCTCAGCTAACCGACAACTGTGAGCCCCGCAAGCCCCGGCCACACATCCCGGTCGGCCCAGGTCAAAACCCACGGAACGGGAGCTCTGAGCAGCTCTTTCCAGCCCAGCCCTGGAGTGGTTTGCTGTGTGCTAGGAGATGCCGGGGAAGCATGCATGTAATTCTGTGACTCAAACCCACTGCTGCAGAAATCTGCTGCCTGCAGTTGAGCCTGGCCCGGTACACGCTTAGTCCAACATTTCCGAGGCCAGTCTTGGTGTGTTCTGGCTCTTTCTGTGTTTGCAGCCTGACCTTCCCTATTGTGTCTGAGCCTCACAAGATTTTCCATTTCTGTTTCTTAAATATGCATTGGTTCTGTCCACGGTGCACAGACATCCTGGTTCACATCACCTGCTTTCTTACCTGGGTAGCGCTCACCTCCCGCCGAGTTTCCTGCTTTGACTCTGTCCTCTTCCTGTTTCTTCTCCGCAAAGCGGATAGTTTCGGCTCCGAGGCCTCCTTCCCAAGCGCCACAGTGTAGCTCTCTTACTCTGCCTTTCCAGGAGACAACCAGAGCGCTGCCTCACTCCCCACCTTGGTTTTTGCTGCCCACCTTTAGAGCCAGCATGCAGGTGCATTGGTCCACAGGGCCAAGGGGATCCTGGCTCTCAGAGCACACCCCCCCCCCCTCAGACTCAGTCAAGTCCCAGTACAACGCGGCACGGCTGCAGGTGAAAATAGCTCTCACCCTCGTTCCCACACTCTCCTTTCCTCTGCCAGATCTCTGGATTTCAGTTACTGCTTATTTGCAGCACAGGAAGCAGGCAGGTCATGTGTCAAAGGATGAAGGAAGCTTAGCTTTTCACTCAGGTAAGCTGCTCTTCAGTCTTGGCTGTGACCTGGGTCTTGGGAACATGTGGATTCCTGTGCTTCGCAGCATGTATTCCGATTCTTTATGCCTGGCCTGGAACCTGAGCCATCTGCCTGTTAGCAGGATTCCAGGGAGATCCCCAGGCTTCCCTTCGGGGCTGGCCTGGATGGAGGCATCAAAGGTATGGAATCAGTGTGGAATTCCCTGCTTCTTCTGGGAGCATTTGCGGTGCACCTGCTACAACTCTGATGTGCTGAAGATGCGTGTGTCACAGACTCAGCTTCGAGTGTGTTATTTTACCTGGGAAATTATGCTTCTCCTGCACACAGTATTTGGCACATGTATGTCATATGAGGATATGTGTGGGGAGTGACAGGATTTCCTAAGAAGAATCCTTACTGGATACAGGAGACAGAGAAAGCACAATTCCTAAGATGCTTACTTCTCACTTGAGGCCCAGGAGGAAATTCTGCCCACAGAAAGAGCACAGGCTTAGCAGTCTCCACGGTGGTTCGCCTCTCTTCTTGATTGACTGACCATGCAGCCTTGGGTGAGTCGTCTTACACTTTAGCTTTAGCATCTTCATTCATTAAATAGAGTTGGTGATAGAAGGTCGTCTCGATCTTAGTGCTGCGTGGCTGTCGGAAACACTGTCAGCAATGTGCTCAGCTCGTGGTGTTCGACAGTGGACAGTCCAGCTGTTCGGCACAGTCACCCTGCCTGACTGTAGCCCAGGCCTCCGTGGAACCAGGGCTCGTAGGTCAGACAGGGGAGCCAGGTGGGAGTGCTCGCACCGCCTTTATGAGCTGACTGAGCCTCAGCACTTACTTTGCTCCCTGAAACTCAGCTGGGCCGTGTTTGAATCAGAGGTGAAACTCTCCGCCACTCATTCTCCTACTCCGAGTGGAAAGGGGGAAAGGCAGCCTGTGTAAAGCACCAGGCGCAGAGCCTTGAAAGCATCAGATCCGCCACAAATACAGGCGTAGCAGCTTCCAGGGCTGGGGCCAAGAAGGACCACTCTCAGGAGCAA